ATTGAAAAATTGGCGTTCTGTTTTCTCAAACATAGCTGAATTTGAAACTCAAAATGGAAAATTCGAGTTTCCTAGTTTCTCATGAACTTGATTTATGGGATTTTTTTCCCCTCGAAGTTATTTCCTTGTGGTTTCTCAACTTTTTTTTATTTCTCTTGATCGATTTGTAAGAACATCTCGAAACATAAACGACACGAGAATTTGTCGGGAAAAACACCAACAGAAGCTGAGAGAAAAATACAATGAACATGATTTACATGGTTTGTTACGGATGATTACATTTACAGGTGAAGACCATATATACAATAGCTCTAGATAAAAGTGGCAATGGGCCGAGTGGCCCGGCCTGGTCAGCCTAACCCTAAAAAAACTAAAGCCGGCTATCCACGGCTTTAGGGGACTGTTCACTTTTGGTACAAGGAGGTCACAATCACTCTTGTTCGTCATATTTCAAATAGGGTGTAATATAAAAATGTCATTGACTTAGATTCGAATTGCAAAAAAAAAATTTCTCGAACTTTCATCACATACCCTAAATCATCCAATTTAACATCTAATGGCTAAAGATAACACTGACTTCCTTGTAACAAAAATAAATGATTTCATTATATATTAATCCCATATCTTGAACCCCACAAATCAGTGCCAAGAGCAAGCGGGCCAATCATCAATATGTGATATTATTTGGTTACACGTATAATTCAAGACATAGTTACGAGCAAACAAAATTGTTTAAAATTTAAGACAAAGTTTGTGAATGCGTAACATAACATTTTTATTTAATCCAAACCATGAAAAATGCATTTTAAAGATGTCAACAAAGAAATACTCTATTAAGCATCACATGATAATTTCTCGAGCTTTTATCCAAAGATTGGGAAAATTAAAGGTGCAGATCTACAAACACTTAAAAATCTTAAAAATTAACGATCCATAAAAAGCATTACAAGATGCACTATTTTCAAAGCTTGAAACCATTTTTCTGATGTCCCATACATCTTAAGGTCGAAATGATTGATTTGGGAATTTTGAACATCAAAACAACATCTTTTAGTGAATCTTTTATGTGTACCTTAATTTGAGTGTTTAGAGCCTCACCTTTATATAAACTTCTTCCTTCTTTAAAAGTTGGGGTTGCTCTAGTCGTATGAAAAAAGTTTATATAAGTGCGAGGCTCTAAACAATCAATTTAGGGCTCTCCTCAAAAATTCACTTAAAGACGTTGCTTTGAAGAGATTGTTTTGAAGCTCAAAAATCCTCAAATTGATGATCTTGACCTTAAGATGTATGGACATGAGAAAAAATAGATTTCATATCTTGGAATTAGTGTATCTTGTAATGTATTTTCAGACTGTCAATTTTCAAGATTTTCAAGTGTTTATAGATATGCTCGATCTACACTACATTTGAAGTTTTAAATTTTATAATTAGAGATGAAAATAAAATTTCAAGCCATCATAAAGATTTCTAGTATTGAAAGAGCATCTCTCGACACCATTTGAATGTGCGCTTTACTTTGGTTGTTTAGAGCCTCGGCCTTATAGAAACCACACCCCTAGTCATATACATTATTATCGTTATTTGTGCCATTTTTCCTTAAATATATGCTAGGTGTAGAATTGGGCTTTGTCAACTTGTTGAATGATAAATCCTAATAAGCAAGACAAGGTCAATTTGAGATCTTTGTGAGGATCTAGTTGGGATATGAGGGGACCTCCAAAGCCTCATAATAATTTAGGGCATCCATTCATATTTGGGGGGACCAGATAAGAGACACCGTCCCTTTGGGAGGGTTCTTCCTTGTCTTGACTGACCAAAAAACTCCATCTCTTTTTAGCCTTTGTCTATGGCTTTAGGGGAGTCTCGCGAAATTGAAGGGGAAATGGCATAGAGGGAGAGAGAGAGAAAGAAAGAGAGAGAGAGCATGAGAGAGAGAAATAGAGAGCATTGATTGAGTATGAGAGAGAGAGCATGACTTCAGTATTAGAGAGAGACCCTTAATGGAGTATGACAGACAACATGAAGAGAGAGAGAGACCATTAATTGAGTATGAGAGAGAACATGAGTTCAGTATTAGAGAGAGAGAATGAATTGAGTATGAGAGAGAGAGAGTGTGTGAATTGAGTATGAGAGAGCATGAGTTATGAGAGAGAGTATGAATTGAGCATGAGTTGAGTGAGAGAAAGAGATGATGAGTTGAATACAAGAAAGAGACAACATGAAGAGAGAGAGAGAGCCCATTAATTGAGTATGAGAAAGAACATGAGTTGAGTATGAGAGAGAGTGAATTGAGCATGAGAGAGAACATGAATTGAGTATGAGAGAGAGAGAGAGAAGTATTAGAGAGAGAGAGATGATGTGAAATATCATTTTCCTCAAAGAATGACCAACGTTTGACACAAACATACTTTTCATTTGAATGACCAAAGAAGAAATCAAATCCATGATGATAGAATAGGGCCTCCCTGTAACTTCTATGATATATCATCAACATGCTTATATTCATCCCCTTACAAGCGAAATCGCGTCGATTTTTCACGCACATGATCATGACTACTATTTCCATATCTTTGAAAACATGTGAATATGGCCCCATTTTCAACGCATGCCATGTCCCTATGGGTTGCTAGGCATTTCGCCAAGCATGTTTTCAATGTCCTAACAAAGTAATAGGCATAAAAAAAAAGTAAAAAACAGAAAAGAAACAAAAACAAAAACAATTTAGCTATTACCCTCTTGACTTAGATTTAATCTAATAACCTAGAGGTGGTAATGGGCCAGGTGGTCGGGCTAGCTGGCCCTAAAAAACTAGGGCTAGGGTCACAAAAGGTGGCCTGAGGGCAGCACAACCATGGCTTGAGCGTAAGGCCTGGCCAAGGTCGGGCTAGTTTGCCCCAGCCCAGCATTATTTTTCTTTATTATTTTCTTTCTGTTTTCTTTTTTAATTTTTTCTGCACCAGTCTGGCCTGGCCCCAATAGAGCTAGGGCCGGACTAGAGCTAGGGTTGGCCTAGCATCTTGCAAGCCCTAATATTACCCTTTCAATTTGGATAGATCGACTTAGTTCCCCATTCCAGTCCAAAAATTTGTGCAAGTAATTCTGATCAAATTGAAATGATTCTCAGTCAGATTGGCGATTTTTAAAACCCTGTTGCGAATTACCAGTATCCAATAAACGTTCTCAGGAACATACATGAATGTGTTATGATTTTGAATCCTTAGTTTAACCTCACCAAAAATTTAAACTTTTTAAAAAAAAAAGAAAAGAAAAAGTAGAACAAGATAAGAATTATATTATGCTGATGATTAGTAATGAAGCAGTTTTTATGCTTTCTTGGAGTGAATTGATTAGGTTCAGTTTGAGTAAATGGAGGGTATTTATGTAATTGCAATTAAGTGGGGGATATTTATGTGATTCTTAAGAAAGATTCTGATGAGAGATGCGATGAATAAACGCAAAATTTGAGCATATTGTTGCAATCTCCTGATTTGGCATAATAACATTGCGGTGTTTACTTGTAATATTAAATTATCAAACCCATATATCTTGCGATCTCTCCAAATTTTAGAGAGAGAGAGCTTAAATATTAGGGTGATAGATGTGTGACAAGAGAGAGAAATTAATAGAAGATATAGAAAGAGCATGAATTAGGGTTAGTCATTTGGGTGAGAGAGAGAGAGTGTTAAGTAAGGAGTGGCAATCGCGTCTGGTAGCACTGGATCTATGTTTCGAACTCGGTGGGTCGGATTGGGTCGAAATAACCTTGACTCAACAGGGGTCTGGATCTAGATTTAGCATAGACCCTATCAGGTCGGGGTTGGGGTTGACCCAACCTAGTATAACATACGATGACTATATATTATATAATATAAAAATTATTTTTTCATTTTTAAATTTCTATACGAGGGTCCAAATGGCTTGGACCCAAACCGACCCATGTCTGATACAGGTCCATTGGCACCCTTAATTAACATTAGAATTTTAAAGAATGAAAAATGTGAAGAAATGTTGTTTTGTTTAGAGAGAGAGGGATCATTTGGGGTAGCACCTCATAACTAGTTACTATAGTGTGGTTTTCAATCCTAACACCACCCATTGACATTAAAAAAAAAAAAGAGTAGGAAATATGTCATATAGAACCTTAATTCCTCACATTATTTCATCGTAAATCCTTTTTCTATTTTTTTTTCAAGCATCATAAAAAAACCTTAAAGATTTCACGGGATATGGTGAAATCTTTATGGGTTTCTTTATGCCTCTTGAAATGAAAACGGATAGAGGGTCTATTATGAAATAACATGTTGAATAAGAGTTCTATACAAAAATTTTTCAAAAAACTAACTCTGTGATCCATCCGAAAAAAAAAAAAACGGATATAGGCTATCTTCTTCATTGAATAACAAAAATAAAAAAAAATGGGAGACAAATGGATAAAAGTATGATGAGAGAGAGAGAATTTTGAAACACAGAGATAGATGGGGGGGGGGG